TCCCAAAACGTGGGCCCAATTTTCTTTCCCTCCCTTTTTTTTTGGGTGTTTGTGCCATTAATTCAGCAGCCTCCTCCTGATTCCTGGGGCGCAGCAGCTGAGCGGCTTCCAAAAACTTCTTGCTAGTGTCATCAGTGCTGTAACCTGAGGAACAAACATCCATAGTGAACTAAAAATGAAACTGCTCTCCCTATTTAGGCCGTCTTCTATCAACAATCAGATTTCTCACTAGGCACAGCAGGTGTTAATATGCTGTCTTCCTGTAGCCTGGGTCATGGTGCTCAGCATATCAGACCAGTTTAACTACAGTGTAGAAAGGTATGTGAATTGCTATCTGCTCAAAGGCATTGAAGCATTAGAATACAGAGCTAGAAAGGGCATCCTGGGCCATCAAGATTGGTCCCCTGTGTTTGCAGGCAATTGTTAAGTGAAGGAATCCCTCAAATCACTTCAACCTCATAATAGCCAAAACAGCAAGAACACCCTATAACAGGCAAAAGCAAGGGAGTCCAGGGCACCAGTTAGGAATAACTAGTTGAATGAATGACCTGCTGCATAGTGGAATACCAAGAGTATTTGTCACAACCAAATCCTAGCACATTAAATGATCACAAGGGTTTCCCATCAGGGTTAATGTTCTAACACAGGGATAGGTTCCACTGTGATCTGTGCAAGAAAAATAATGTAATGTAATCACTTAGGTGTCCTTACGAGAAACGGAATTGATCATCGCCTGCATCTTCAGCTTGAGGAGTTCACTCAGCAGGTGGATGGACCTTTGTTGGAACCTGAAGAGTATCTGCTGATTTTCAGCTGAAGGAGATGCATACTTTGGCTCTAGTCTTGCACCTCTGATGGTAGTTCTTTTTGCAATGTGGGGCTTGCAGAGAGAGCCAGAGGATAAGTTTCCCAAGGCTGGAGATAAGTGGACAATGGGAAAGAAGTCACCAGTGGCAACTTTCCTGGGGGGTGTTAGTATTAGCTCCTCCCAGGTGAACTCAAAGATGTTTTTGATCCCTCGAGGCACATGAATGCCCATCTTATGGCACTTTGCAAGGAGCTGGATGATTTGGGCCAGAATTTCTGGAGCTGATGCTTTAACTTCCTCAAACAGTTTGACAGTACTTCTTTTGGCATTCATGTTGGCGATGCAGTCATTTCACTTGTGGCTACTTTACTTGAAGTGGTGATCTGGGTGAACAAACAAAAGAGGATGCAAAAATCTCTTTGCTAATGGACCGGTTCTGTAGTCAGGGTGACCAAAAAAGTGTTTCACTGGAATTAACAGGGTTAATGCCAGCGTTGGTTATAACTGAAGTAATAATAATTTACATGAATATAAGATATCAGTTTTTATCCTGGCGGAATGCATTACACAGCCTGATGAAATGTAATACTGAAAAACTTACAGGGGCGTAGGTTGTAGCTGGGTTGGTCTAAGGACATAGGCAGACAAGGTTCTTTGGGTAAATCTGATATCTTTTATTAGACCAACTCAAATAGTTGGAAATTTCAGTTGAAAGATACTGAAAAGCTTGGCACAGCAGAATGGTTTTAACTACTCCACAGAACATTACTTGAATTGCTACTGGATTGGATCGATTTACCCACAGATCACTTCGCCCTCCACTGAAATGCAGCCACCTCTGGGTGGGAACGTGGCATCTGGTTAACAGAGCACAGCAGTCCCAGAATGAAGGTTAGGACTGTTTCTTGCTATTTCCCTCCTGCCACTGTTGTGCCTGGTGATTTGCAGGCAAAGTTTTTAAAAGCAGATGAGTTTACAATCTAAATTGGACACATCACAAAAAAGAGGTCAGCAGAAAAAATGTGAGGGAGAGTGAAGGTTAAAAGGTGAACAATATTGATTACTATTACCTACTTGCCTTGTTCATCTGCATTTTAAAAATTGGCGCACTAAAATTTATGGATAATGAGCAAGATCCTAAGCGACTTCAGTGATTGAAGCTACACTGGATTTTATATCTAAATACTAATATGCTTTCCACCCTACAATGTATTAGATCAGGCAACTCAGATTGATTTACATGGATGCAAGAACAGAATCTAGAGCAGGGGTGGGCAAAATGCAGCGCATGGGTCAGATGCGGCCTGCCAGACCATTCTATCCGGCCTGTGGGGTCCCTAAAAATTTAGAAAATTAATATTTATTTGCCCCGGTTGCCTGTCATGCAGCCTTTGATGGCTTGCCAAAACTCAGGAAGCAGCCCTCCGCCCAAAATAACTGCCCACCCCTGATCTAGAGCAATGTCTGAGTTGACAAGGGCAAGAGAAGGAATGAGAAAATTGTCTGCAACAGAAACAGTGAAGGGCATCATTCCCTGAATATGGCTCAGTGGCAGAATCAGGTCCGAGAGCCTGCCAGACTGCTACGCTTGTTTTAAACTTATAGATCACTTATCAAGAATTTGGCAAACTGCTTATATGTATGACGCTACAACACCTTCTCCACAAAATTCTTCAAAAAATATTGATCGTGTGCATGGGTGTTTATTGACTGACTTTCAAGAACCTAAAACCATGTTTTTTATAAGGCTTAGCCGATGAAAAGGTCAAAGAACTTTAATTTATTATTGAATGGTTCAAGGTAGCTGGCTGTTGCAAGGCACATGCAGGAATTAATTGCAGAGCTGGCAAGAGAACAGAAGGGTCCTGTCTGCTGTCTAAACCGCTCTCCTCTCAAGGGAGTGAAGATGTTTAATATTATCCGAAGTCAGTGGTACCTGTTACTTTTACTCTGCAGACATGGACTCAAATACAGTTCTAGGCCCCAGTGTGAAACAGAAATTATGTTTGATTCATAGATTCATAGATTGTTAGGGGCTGGAAGGGATCTTGTAGATCATCGGGTCCAGTCCCCCTGAACTAGGCAGGAAAAGACAACTGACCCCAGTGAGGGGACTGTCCAGTCTCCTTTTGAAGATTTCCACTGTTAGGGCTGTGTGAGGCTTCGGACTGTGCTTCGGCATCCGAAGCAGCATGTCTGGATCGAAGTGCTGGCTTCGTTAGGTTTTCCAAAGCAGTTTGGAGCTTCCGAAGCGCTTCGGAGCCGCTTCGGAGATCCGGCCATAGGGTATAATGGGGAATCAATGAAATATCTAGAACTTTTGTTTTTTTTGGTCTGATTTGGATTAAACTTCCGGGGTGGTAATCTCTGCTGAGAGCATGAAGCCTGCCAAGTTTCAAGAAGATCGGTCCAGGGGTTCGGGGGGAACTGCACCCCAGATTCTTGAAAGAAAACTTGTGTCACGTCTATGTGTTACAACACAGAGGGGTCAGAACTGCAGGGGTGGTGGACCCTGATGAGACCACAAAGCCTGCCAAGTTTCAAGATTGGTGCAGGGGTTTGGGGGGAACTGCACCTCGAGCTGCTGACAGGCAAAACTCGTGACATAGATGACCCCGTGTGTGTTAAGGTGCAGCGGGCTGAAAACTGCAGGGGTGGTGGCCCCTGCTGAGGCCACGAAGCCTGCCAAGTTTCAAGGAGATCAGTGTAGGGGTTGGGGGGGAGCTGCCCCTCAAGCTGCGGACAAGCAAAACTCATGCCATGGGTGACAGTGTGTGTGTTAAGGTACAGCGGGGCGACAGCTGCAGGGATGGTGGCCCCTGCTGAGGCCATGAAGCCTGCCAGCTGTCAAGGAGATCAGTGCACGGGTTCTGGGGCCCTGCACCTCTAGCTGCTGAAAGACAAAACTCGTGTCACTGATAGTGGCATATTCTTAAACACAGCACAAAAGCGTGTACGCATTGACCAACGGTTTCTAGGTCTGAGCACTGAGCTCTTGGGAGATGGCATTAAACAGGGAGGGAAGCAGAAAATCTTCCCAGAAATGGGCAGGCTGTGACCGAGGGGAATGTGACCTTGGCAGCCTGGAAACATACTATTGTTTCCCTGGGAGTTACTAAATGAAAAGAATGAGAGGGCTGATCACAATGAAGCTAACTTTAGATGGTGGGAATGAAGGGGAGGAAAAGGGAAGCTGAGACTTGAGCAATTTCTGTGCAAGTCATTTTAGGCAAAGTCCATGCTCTGTGAGAACTTTAGATACCTTTAGACAACCCCCTCCCCGGCCGAAAAAACAACAAAACAACAACAACAACAACAAAACAAAGAAAGGAGTGACAAGGGTAGGAGACCAACTGGCCTGCAATTTGAGTTGGTTTAGGCAGGGAGAAGGAAACTGCGATCCTTAGGAGTTTAATTCTAGTTGTGCCACTGACTAAACGTGGCTCCTTGGCAGGCGATATAGTCTCACTGGGCCTCTTTTAAAACAGCTGTGTTAAAGGATCATGAAGGAATGAAGCTGCAGTGCAATGTCAGAGGCAAATATAAGTATGTTTAAAGGGAGTAGAAGTCAATGTAATTTACAGATCTCTGTTCCCTACCAAGGGACATTCAACCACTTAGTGTACTTAGATTCAGACTCCACCATAGACACCACCTTTAAATTGAAGCAACTGCCTGTTAAAGATATGTCTATGCGGCAAATAAAGGTGTGACCAGTGCACAGACAGCCAGATCACCCTCCCTTTGGCTTAGGCTAGTGAGCTCTGCTAACAATAGCAATTTAGACTTCAGAAAGGGCTGCACAAGGTGCTGGGACACTGGGTTTGCACTCTGACCTGCTGTCTTGTGCTGAAGTCTAGGCTGCCACATCGTCACTGGAAGCGTTGCCTGTGCTAGCCAGCAGAGATGTTTACCTGGAGCGCAAATGTAGCTTCTTTTTTCAACAAAGCAGATGTGCCTTGAAGGAATGACTTAATTCAGTTGAGCCTCTCAAGTTCAGCCCTACGCTTGTACTCATGACATTAGCCTGAACTTAAACTCCTTTCCCTCTTCTGCTGCTTTCAACAGCAGTAGCCAACACCAGCTAAGAACGTACTGTTTTTTTCAGTTTAGACACATTGAGTGAACTTGAGGTGACTTATGAAAGGGAACAGAAATTATTGTAAAAAGAGCAGTTAAAAGACTAGAAGAACATATAATCTACCCTACTTATTACCTTACCCCTTCTTAAGTCCATCTGTATGTAATGTATCCTAATTTAAACTCCCTTTCACTCTTTTACACATTAGTAAAAAAGAAAAGTCTACACGAATCCAATTGTGAGTCTGTTACAAGACAAGGGAACCTAAATGACACCCTTTTAACATATAGGCTTGGGATAGCGTGGGTGGGCTGAAGAATCCTGCTGTTCTTCATGTCAGTTATGAGGCAGAATGGATTAAAAAAATCAAAGTTTGATTATACATTTTTACATAAAGCCTTCTAACAAAATGGAGGATTCTGATTCAAAACCACAGCTCAATATCACTAATAAACTAAAATCACATCTCTGCAAGACTATCCAGCAATCAGAAGCCCACAGGGTGTGGGAAGTTTAATGTCAATGACTGAAATGGCCGGCAAAATAGAAGTCAAAGCAGTACAAAGGAAAATTGCTCAGAGGAAATAATTTGAGCAGGGAATTCAAATTGAGCTCAAAGTTTGGAGCAATTTGTCTTCTCTTTGGCAGGAGTGGAGTGAGGCTGAGGACTCACTTCATATCAAATGAAATCTTTGCTTTTATTCTAAACATCAACTTTTCCTGAGTTACAGAGCCTTTGAAGGGAAGCATCGTTGCATGCACTAAGGGAGTTGGGAGAACTAGGTGGGGTGGGTGGGTTGTTTGCTCTACCACACACTTGCTGAGAAGTCTGGAGTAAAATAATCTGTGCCTCGATTTCTGTGAAGTGGGAATAGTAATACTTTCTTACCTCAGGATGATCCTGTAATGTTTAAATCACTGAACACTGAATAGTCACTGAGATCCTACGCTGAAAAGGATTAAACATGCAAGGGCATATTATTTAGAAAAATGCCAACAACTGTCTAGAGGAACTGTTTCACCTACTAAAGTGGAACTACTTCTGGGGTGAAATCCAACAGCTATGATATACAGAATCATAGAAAATTAGAGTTGGAAGGAACCCTGGGTACCATCTCTCTGGGTAGCCTGTTCCTACGCTTTACTGCCTTCCTAGTGAGAGTTCTTCCTAATATCTAACCTACATTTCCCTCTCTAACCTAAACTTCCCTTGCATATTTAACATGACCACATGCTGATTTAGGACATGGCATTAATACTAGCATGGAGTTTAATCTACCTAGATGGACAGTCACAAGGCAATGCTTGCAGATGGAATATGAGTAAGATTTTGTGATTAACAGGCCCAAATGAACTACACTTGGTTACCAAAGACTGAAGCCAGCCTTGGAGACACTTGAAGACTCCTGTACTGGAAGGCAGCTGGCCGAGATCAGTGGGAGCTAACCTTTTTGGCAGACATGCTACAAATTAGCCCCACATCCTCTTGCCCTGTCTGATTTGCTGCTCTGCTTTCTAATCCTTGTCCTAACTGCCACTGTCTTGTCTGCCCCCTTCATGGTCTGCCAAGTGCCTATGCCATTTGTGGCACTCATGCCACAGGTTAGCCACTCCTGGCCTTGATGACATAATCCCCTCATTACTGTACTTAAATAACTACTACAATTTCAAAACACAATGTATTTCACCACTTTGTAGCTACTATATATTGGCCCCAGAGATATTGTCACATTATATTCTATAAAGGATTACTCAAACTGATGTTTGGAGTAGCTAGGTGCCTAAAATGTACTGGAATTCAGTAGGATTCTGGCATTTAACTCTAAGATCCTTTATTAAGAAAGGGGTTTTTACCTTAATTGAATAAGATGGATACAGCTGATCAGGAAGAGTTTACAGGCACATAACACTCCAGATGAAGGAAAAATCAACTCTTGACCTTGTGTACACAAGTCCAATATCAAAATATTTAAGACATGCAGATAAGGAAATTGGCACAGGGGCCCTAAACATATTTGTTGGTTGTAATTTTGTTTTTAACTCAACTATTTAAATGACTTAATATTTTCCAATGTGGGGGTTTTCCTCACATAGCTATAACAGTTATTATTTGCTATGAGCTATCAGAAAAAAAAGGAGCATTGGTTTCAAAACCACTTCCTAATTACAAAAGACCTAGGCTGGAAAATTCAGAAGATGGTAGTTAGTTAATGAAGACCAGATATATTTTACTTTTCACTGCCTTAATTTTTTAAGACAAAAAATACCTTCAAAATGGGCATCC